AACTTTTTTTTTTGAAACTTACTTTTATACCACTGTTGGTGTCTCTTTTGTTTCCTTTTTAGAAAAATCCTAAATTGTCTTATCATCAAGGTAATGTTAGCCTCATCCTCAGGCTGTGAATGATCATTCTCTGAGTCATCCACTTTTAAAGCTATGTTCCTCTCCTTTTTCTTTTCTCCTACATCAATTTATCTTTGAGTCACTCATTGCTGGTAAGCAATTAGTGATCCAAGAAGATTGTCAATAGAATACACATTTATATCTTAAGACTCTATAAGAACAAATATTTAAGTATCATAAGCAGTAGACAAATAATAACGTATTTTATTAACTTTTTCATCATTTGTTAGTTCCATACCTAATGCATGCAAGGAGGTCACTATTTGATTGAAACGTGTATACATGTCAGTGATCGATTCATTTGGTTTCATATGAAATAGTTCAAAATCATGCAATAGAATATTTAATCTAGATTGTTTCATTTTATTAGTCCCTTCATATGTAATACAAAGCCTATCTCAAATTTCTTTTCCACTTTTACAAGTAGAAATATGCATGTAGTCTTCAGATTTAAGTGCACAAAAGAAACTATTCAAATATTTTGCATTTAACTGAGCTAATTCAAGTTCTTCTACAATCCAGTCAACAAATGGTGCTTTAGTTCTAATGCCATTTTTTAGTCTAGTTGTCCTAGTGTATCCATTTTATACTAAAATCCATATGCGATAGTTAAGCAATTGAAGAAAAGTAGACATTCATGTTTTCCAAAAATCAAAAGGGATATTATCAAATAATGAGAGTCTAGTGATCGAATACTCTTTTGGTGTGTTATGATTTCCAAAAGTAGCCATAATCATTTTCAAAAAGTAATCTAAACTTTAAATTTTGAAACAAGACTCTGATACCACTTGAAAAGTCCGTATAGCTTGTTAGACCTACGCAATTGTCCCAAGGCTAACAAAGAGGGGGTGAATTGGTTATTTTTAAAAATCCCTCTTGAATAAAAAACCATTTAATAATTTTTGCAATTTGATTTTCTTTTTAAAATAAGCTTTTCAACCACAACCACAAAATATAGAAAATAAAATGCAGAAATAAAAAGAACACATTAATTTATAGTGGTTCGGTCCAACAAGACCTACGTCCACTTCCTTAAGACTCCCTCTTTAGGTATTATACTATTACCAAAGTGACTCTCCTTTTGCACCCACAGGAAGGCGGAGAAGCCTTTACAATTTTCCTGTCTTCCACCAATCCCCGGTGCGGTAGAGTACTGTCATCCTTTCACACCCTCCTAGTGTCGGCAGAGTACCATTATCTTTTCACATCCTCCAAGTGTTAGTAGAGTACCGTCATCCTTTCAGATCCTCCAAGAGTTAGCAGAGTACCATCATCCTTTTATACCCTCTAAGTGTCAGTAGAATACTATCTTCCTTTCACACCCTCCAAGTGTCAGCTGAGTACTAGATCTTCTCTAAATATCTTCTCTCAATAACCTAGAAATAAAAAGGAAGAGAATTGACATAAAAACAAAAGGGATTATCACCTTTGAGTAACCTTGTGAATCTTTAACACTCCACTTGCAAGAACTATCTCTCAAACACTCTTCGAAATTACCCTTTCACTTGTTCTCTAAGAAATCACGAAGACCAGATTTGTCCAAGTCAATTTCTAAGGACCTTTTATATGAAAGACATGAAAAACCATCCAGAAAATTGAAAATTTCAATTTTGAGCTTCCACGATCGTACAGTATGATTGACAATCATACATACGAACAATTTAAAATTTTCTCGTACGAACTTGTATAAACCGTTTTCGTATATGATGAACGTATAATATGAACCTATATCGTACTATATGAACTATTCAAAAAAATTTCTGATTCGTCGAGATGAAAAGATACCCCTTAATTTCGTACTATGGATGTCGTCTATACAAACATGTGATCGAACAGTATGAACATTTCAAGAAATATTTGATGTTCGTCGTAACAAAAAGGTACCCATTCTTTTATACAATGGATGTCATATGTACGAAGGGCACTTCGTACAATAAGATTAGTTCAGAAAAATTTCAAAATTGTCGGGATGAAAAGAGATCCAATCTTTTCATACTCTGGACATCGTGTGTACAAAGAGTACTTCATACAATACAATTATTTCAAAAAAATTTGATGATTGTTTGAACGAACTTATGCGTATCTATTTCATACTCTAGATGTCGTCTATACGAAGGTCTCTTCGTACAGTACGAACAATACTTAGAAAATTTTCTTCATCTGGTTTGTATAACTGCTTGTTGGAGGAAATAATTGAACAAATTATCCCGTACAAATGTAAATCATACAGTACTATCAGTTTAAAAAAATTACAAATTTTTAACACTCCTCTAATGTGTGTGTGTGCACGGTTACTCAATTATAATCACACTCTCTCAGACTCAATAAAAATAAAAAATACAGACTCCATTTATAATGAATCCTATTCTAATATTATTTGAAGTCTTCAACAATTTGGAGTATGAATTCCCTGAAATGTTAGTACACACAAATAACAAAAGCAATATATCCAATATATGTTAGGAGAAACAGTAATCAAAACAATAATATTTGGAATTATAAAAAACACATGATATCAAAAATATAGTTATGAAAACTAAGTTGCAACATTTAGTGACTCTCATTTAGCTCCCACAACTAGGCGGATAAGACCTTACAAAATCTCTTTCACTAACCCGTTGTGATAGAGGACTGTAATATTTTTACCCTCTTAGTGAGGCAAAAAACCTAGAATCCATTTTCACCATTCTGGTGAATACAGAGTACATAAAATCATTTTTCATTCTCTTGGTAAAGGCAGAGAAACTAGAATCCTTTTTCACATGGAGGAACTCATGTGCAAGTTCACCGAAGCAACAATGTGGAACTCCCTCTCATACTCTCTTGAAACCCACAAGAATTGTCCCCCTCTCTTAGAAACTCTACCCTTTCTCTCCCAAATTTTAAACTCTCTCTTTAAGCTTTCTTCAGAAGAAATTTAGTCAATAAATGACATAAATACTCTTATAAATTCTTATGAAAAAGCTTAAATAGAGGGCTTAAAAAATTCTAGAAATTTAATTGAGTTGACTCTAATTGTAGAGTACGATCACAAATTGTACAGTACAACCATAGATCATATAATTCGAATTCGATCCCTTAATTACAAGAATTGAATAGGCAAGATTTAATGATATCTTATAATATGATGTGTACCATATGATAGATTAGTACAAATATTAAATTTAAAATATTGTTTAAAATGTAATTAGAGGCTGAGATCTTAATTTCTACTGATTATTCATTATGATATGGATCGTACATTATGATGAGTTTAATAGAACTTTAATTATTCTAATTAATAGTTATGATGACTTTTCAAGTTATTGATCATAAAGTAGATATTTATTATACAGTAAGATTAGTTTAGAAATATTACACTTCTAAATTTCTCACTTTCTCACTCCCCTATATGTATGTACGATCACCAAACTAGTATATACCCTTATAGAACTTGACTCAAAAAATTAAAAATAAATAAATGAAAATTACTTATTCTTTAATCACACCATATTTTATCCAATCTTAAGCCCTAAATCTTCATTGAATCATACATGATGTACTTGAAATATTATTACTCACTCAAATAAATATGCACTATAAATACGAGAAAAAATAAAGAGTCAAATAATAATATTTGATGTCATCAAAATCATAAACCCAAGAGTTTGAGTTGCAACAAAATCTTGCATATTAAACCCTATATCTTTCTATCACCGCAAATGTTTCAGGTCACGACAATACCATTTATGTTATGTTTCATATTATCAAATAACCATAGAATGTTAATTTATAATTTTCAATTTTATCACTATACTTTTTCAACAGTGCCGATAAATTTAATATTTCTCTTTATAAAATTAAGGGACTATTATGTATATCTCTTCCTATGAATCACATTGTATCCATAAAAGCATTAATATAACCCTTCCGTAATGTGATCTCATAAACTTTACCTTTAACTTAATATAAAAGATATTCCAGAAAATACAAATACTTCAAATTAACTCGACTATGAAAGCTTTAAACATGAATTGTTTCCATAAGTAGAGTACAATGTTTAAACATATTTTGATCAAATATTTACATAGCAAAAGTTCAAGTAAGCATCATGTATCCAACAACCTTTGTCAATGTAGTTATTCATGAATATATTATCCATATTTTTTTGTAGAATCTAAAAAGATTAGGATTGATTCATTATTGAATTTTTTAATGTTAATATGTTTATTAGTTTTTTTATTTGAGTAATTGAATAAGATGTATGAACATCTATACAATCCTAGATTATAATACACCCAAGAACATTTAGATCAAGCTAGTTAGATTCAGTGATCACATTGAATTAAATTTAATACAAATTTGTAGATTAAAAAAAAAAAAGTAAAATCACCATCAAATTAAAGTCTCCAATAGACATGATGAACCCACTGCCAAGTACAACTAGTCAAAACTATTTGAGAAATTTCTATTAGTACTCAACAAAATCTTTACTTCACCTATGTTCCCCTAGTCCCTACAAACATAACTAGACAAACAAAAATGACCAGAACGTCCGATCAGCATAATCTAAATAAATGGTTCAAGGAGGCTGCAGTGACAGCAACATGCAACTAAGATTTTATTTGAGACGGCTTTTTTATTGCTTCTTAAAGTAGTTTTTTAATATAAATATTAAAAATTTTGAACTAGAAAGCAACTTCAAAGAGTAAAAAAGCCATCCCAAATGAAACCTAAATTTCTAATTTGATTATTGATAAATTACAAAGCTCAAAACAGTTTAATTCCATTTACAATAATATCACCAATCTCAAAGAACACAATAAAATAAAGAATCCATATTTTCAGCTTCTATTAAATTATTAATGATTTGATTGTGATACATAAAATACATGAATTCGTTTTTTTTTCTAAAATTTGGTATTATTATGATCATTTTCCCAACATGAATGGATTGAAAATTGAAATCATAAATGAAAGATTCATAATTAGGACACGAATGCCTCAATGTTTTTTTATTCATATTACATTCACTTTAACGCCGTCTCAGCTTACATTTTTGAAGGAAATCTTGGAGTTTTAGCTATGCATCAAATCTTTGGCGCATATTTTTCAGCCTTGTATTTAACTTGTGGATTTCTAATGTCGTCTTGGCTCTGAATTAGCCGAATCTCCAGACTATCTGATCCAGGATTAAATCCGGCTTCTTTGTAGTCAGCAATGGTTCTTTGCAGCACAGCCTGCAAAGATTAAGTAAATTGAGAGTTTCTCTGCTGCAAATGCAGTTATAACAAAAAAACGAGGTGATTTCAGAAGGCAAATGCGAATTCTAAGCAGTTTTTTTTTAATATTTGTTAATAACAACTTTGATAGTTAAATATTTTTAATTTTTTATAATAATAATAATAATAACTACAAAGGCAAGTAATAAAATTATATCTAATAGAAGTGATACCTGCAGGCTAGATACTGCAAGCTCTGAAGCCTTGTCAAGATCATTTGGGTATTTCTTCATAACAAAAGTAAGAGAGTTAGTGACAGAGATAAATCATAAACAAATAATAAGAATTGAAATAGAAAACCTACATTACTCCATCCAAGTAAAAGAGCCGTCATTAGATCTCCAGTGCCCTGAAAGCCATATTCGATACATCTAATTTATCCAAATAAAAAATAAAAAAACTATGACCATCTTTATAAAGGAAAGCAAAAAACACGGAAAGAGTTTTTGAGATTAGCTTGGTACAACTATCTTCATTAAAAACTTTCAGATGCAAAGTGTTAAAAGCAATATAACAATAACTATTACAATGTGAAAAATGAACTGGTAAGTCTATTTAAATGTGTAGCTCTTACAATACCATATAAATACTTTAGTACTCTTAGGGATGGAAGATAGATTCTCATTATCATCATCAAAAGCTTTAACCCATTACTTGAATACTAGTTCTTCATTTGCTAATACTTTGTGCTTTGTTAAATCCATACTAAGAAAATCATAAATATGCCAACAAATAAAAGATCTATTTGGTAAGAGAATAATGTTTGGCGCCTCAGCCTCTCCGCACCATCTCTTTATCTTTGGCGGGTATAGTTTTAACAGATTTAAGTTTTGGGTAAATTTTCAGAAGACATTGAGTTTGTAGATAAGAAACTAGCCAGAAATTTCGCCCTCATTTTGCAAGAACTTTATAATATGAGTTTTGGCCTATAGGCGCAAGCCCCTTTAGTTAATAGCCCCTCCCAACAATGAGAGAAAACTTACTTATCACAAGAAAGAAAAGTCCAACTTTATTTGACCATTTTTTTTAAGCCCGCCTAAATTGATTCATTGAAAGCTTAAATTTCTCAGAATTAGGTCAAAGTTCAAAGAAAATAATATTGTGGCAAAAAATTTAAAAAGGATCATAGCAGTTCTGTAGGACAACTTGAAACCTTCCTGTATGCAACTACAAAATTTCATCGCAGCACTAGCAATCCTCGGCCATAGGCACATTCCTTCCCAAATAGGTCCTGTAATTGCAGAACCTTTCATTTCCCCTTTTGGATTCACAATAACACTAGCATTATCATGGAAGAGGCAAATTTGCAAATCTAATCAACTATACATGAAAAGAAAATTGCAAACCAAATCTCCTTCGAAGTACATGTAGACTCCATCCTTTCGACGCTAAGGCTTGCGTTGCCGTACGATGATAGAGGGCATGACCTTTTTTCTCCTATCTGGTTTGCCCTTCTTGACGGTGGCCATGACCATGTCACCAACACAAGCGTATGGGAGCCGGTTGAGATATCCCTTGATCCCCTTCACAGAGATTATATACAGGTTCTTCGCACTAGTATTGTCAGCGTAGTTCACCGTGTCTGCAACCGGGAGACCCAACGACATCCGGAATTTGTTTCCGGTGCTACCTCTGCGCCCCCTCTTCGACATCTTCGAAAGAAACGAGCACCGTGAACTTTATTTGATCCTTAACAATCAAGGTGTAAGTCGCATTTTTTTATTTTAATCTTCCATTTCCTTATCTTCTCTATCATATTAAGAAGATGTCTAAATTTTTATACCACCCTATATATCTTCCAAATCATATTAAGAAGATATACTGGGTTTTTGATCCCATATGACCAAGTTATAAATCTCATCTATCATATCTTTCATACCTTTTGTTATATTAAAGAGATTTCAAGATTTCTTGATCTCATACAATCGAGCTTTAAATATTATTTTGAATATCATTTCCACTATATGTAGAATGTACCACTCAATCTTACCCCTCAATCTTACAGTCATCAAGAGTTCTAGAACATAAATCCTATCACCTTTAGATCCTTTGAATATGGAATGTTCTTATGAAGGACTATATGTTTTTATTAAATTTGTGAGCTCCTAAAAAAGAAGATTACCTTCACAAGTACAATTAAAGATTTCATGATTAAATACTTATGATTGTGTCCCTTTACCTTACAAACATATCGATATACTCCACATATATATCTTAACCACATCCCAACATACCATACTTCGAGACTTACATATCTATGGATCCATATGAACTTGCCCATATAAAGGTAACCAATTCTCTCAGCACCAATCTCTTTGACTTTTCTAATATTCACATATCTGAGCCCCATTATACTTCTTCAATATGGGATGAGATCATTATATCCCTACTAATAAATCCACAAGCATCTGAACATAAGCATTAACTTGTAAATGAGAGTGTTCTCAAATATGTCGAAGATGTAATTAACCTTAAGAGCCTGCTTTACGAAATCTCGACCCCTATAATTAAAATAATTTCTATTTAGAGTCACATTTCTTACAAGGAAAATCTCTTAGATGGATACAGTTGATCTTCCTACCATTGTCCCCTACGGGTCTATCTACAATTAGTTCTTCACTGCAGGCTCCAGTCATCTTTTGACGTCCTCAAACTCAAAAGAGGTTTTTCCCTTACAAAAGAAACTTGCTAAAATTAATTTACTTTATTTAGCATCATTTCACATTGTCCAAAACAAGTACACAAGCACTAGAGGCTCCCATCACAACAAAAGCATGCTTGAGAGAGGATCTACATTTGACGTTGCAGCTATTGATGATGATCAAGAAGCAGGTGTTCTCACAATGGTTGACAAATGAAATCAGATAAGAGGTTGTGGGTAGGATGATGAATGAAGTACTCCTAGCAGGATCACCTTCTAAAGATATCATTGCAAACTGAGAACTCGTGAAATCCTTAACCCCACCTCTCACCTCAATCATCACCTTCCTAGTCATCATCAAACTTGACCCATCCTCCAAGTATCATTATCCCAAACTCTTCCACCCACAATCACACTTTGTCAACCCCAAACCCACCAACCCCAATCATTTCATCATCATTCCAACACTGTTGATCATGCCACTCACCATGCCGCCCTCACCCCCTTCATCTACTAAATGCTCATTTGCCATCCTCACCCTTGCCTTTCTATCACCAGCCCCCCTCTACCAAGGATAATGTTGAAGATCTATTGCATAAACTTACATACATACTCTTTACATCCAACCAAATAAAAAAAAAATAAATATAAAACATTAATTTTATTCTGCAATCCCAAAACTCCTGCGTTCAACCAAGCAAACCTTAAAATAACCAAAAAAGTAAATCTTAGCGAAATTATGAATTCTCTTCAAAATACTAGAGAAAATTGAAATATACTCAACATATGTGAGTTAAAAAACAGGGAAATACAAGTCTAAGCCTTACGAAGAAACCCTTTACAAATGTGCGCAAAACAAACCCAAAAAATCAAGACAAGAATTATGGGATTGCTTGTAAAATCTGTTTTATGGCACCCTTTTACAATAACTTCTTAAATTTGACTCTCAAATTCAAAATAAAATTTGGGGAATTATCTCACATAAAAAATTACAAAGGGAGACGAAGGATCCAGTTGCCAGAATGCCTCATTTCATCTAAACAAGCTCCCCTTATGGAGCTTATATGTAAGGATATTTTAAGAATTAAACAAAACAATCACGATAGGGGACTACATGTAACATCTTAAGGATCATAATGTTTTTTGGTGCTTGGGAGTTGATTAGGGAAGTTTCCAAGTGTAAATTTGCGAAAAAGAGCAGTTGTTGCTTCTTTTTCTTTGCTCATAGATAACTTATTCAGTTATCGCTGTTGATTGTGAATATTCATGCTGATTTTGAAGACAACGTAATTCCATTTTTAAGATTGTTGAAATTTGTTAGCTGCCCTTTTCTTCTTCCCTTTTTTTCATTCTCTGTTTTTCCATAGAGAATAGCCAGCATAGTCATCCTTTGGAATAGTATATTGTTTGCATTAATGTACATACCCATCGACATAACATAATCCTCAAATTCTGAGCTTTTGCTAGTTTGCTATGTGCTTTTGTTTTTTAGCCTTCATAATTTTGGTAAGCATTTTTTGAGCTGCTCTTTAGGAGCTTAGTGAGTTTCTTTAACCTTATAATGTAATTAAGTTTGCCAATAAATGCTTCATATTTAAAAGAAAACAATGAGCATTGTTTACCCTATTCAGAGATAACAGCAATTGCATCTGCTTTCTCAGCATCTCTCTCCTTTAGGGTCGTTTAGCTTATCAATTGTATACAAGCTTCTGTACCGCAATTTCCAATAACTGCAGAAATTTGTTCAGATAGATTTGGAGAAAAATTCTGCAATTGTGGATAACCGCAACTGCAAATAAGATTTCTGTATGGATTGCTGCAAACTTCGACAACTGTAGAATTTATTGCAGCTGCAGAAAACTTCTACATTTGTAGAAGGATACAGCTATATTTGATTTATATTGCTGCCATCCACATATTGGTGAATCGTATACCTGTAATCAACTCATTCAACACGTTTTATGTTATACAAAAATTTAGGACCATGCTATCTTTATTCCATGACAGCTTATTCTAGAAATTCATATATTATTTTATGGTTAATGAATTTATCTTGTGTCATTGTTAATAGTTTGTCAACAATGCCCAAGCATACTTCTCAAAGCTAATTCTCATTAACTTATTTAATTGATGATTATTTTGCATATTAGCTTGTTTATGCATATTGTAGGCTAAACTCAGACATCTTTCAATTTTACTAATCGTTATCACCGGAAAAAGTGCTGTGTTTGAGTAAAAGATAGTAATGAATATCATTTGGTTAGATAGTGACTAGCTCAGGCTTCTTATCATTCTAGATCTTGCCCAATAATGTGCATTTGCTCTGTTAATTTATTGTAGGCTGAACACATTAAAACTAAGTTTACATATTAATATTAGCTTTCTGTGTAGGCCACAATTCTTCAAACTAGCATTTTTAACCAATGAACTTACACGAGCCTTTTAGTAGTTTTGAATAAAATAATATAATTGAATCTTGTATCACCGATCTAACTAATGTTCACAAACAAAACATTTAAAAGACATCAAAATTCAGCATAAAGTAAGCTAATTTGCAGTAGTTAGTTGTCGTTTGTGTCCAAGTACTCACAGTGAAATATGCTGGAATCTTTGGTATCGCTATTTTAAATTGTTCAGGAGGTTGCCCCTGTCATAATTTGGAGTAAATGTATATCACATTCCCATAAAATGGCAAAACCAAAACAAGATCAGATGCTACATTACATTCTTCGATGAGTGAAAGTAGTATCACTTTCTCATAAAATGGCAAAAGAAAATCAAGATTAGATGCCTCATTGAGTCCATCGACAAGAATAATATGAGCTAATCTTATTGGAAAACATTAAAAAATAAATAAATAAATGAATAAAGAAGAAAACAGGGTAACAATAGTAGACGTCAATAACTGTAATGAGTAGAAACAGACTAGAAAAGATAGATAAACATGGATGTCATTTCGTATTAAGACAGATATGTACATGCATGTTGAATATGAATATGTACATATATTTATATTCAATATGACTTAACACCAAAAATTATCAATTCAGCCAACAACAATTGCTTGGGAATACCGACGAGATGCATACACCTAAACCTATGTGTGTATGCATTTTTTTGTATTAGTGTAAGAATATCCATATAACATATCAGTGTTCCAATGAATCTGTAAAAAAAATAAATAGTGATTTGGTAGTTTAAGAAAAGAAAAAATACAGTAAAAATGGATTACGGTAAAGCCTTAAACATTCTTGTGGGCTCCGAAAATTCGTCCCCGGCCTCCACCCGCTTGATTGCTTTTCTTTGGCGAGAGAGTTTTACGGATTAAGTTTCGGGGTAAACTTTGGAAGACAGATGGGTTTGTAGATAAGACATTACCCAAAGATTTCGCCATCATTTTGCGAGGACTTTATGATCTGAGTTCTGGTTTCCTATAGGCACAAGCCCCTATAGTTAATTACCCCTCTCGATTACGAGAGAGAACTTTCGATTAAAGCTAGTCGTCAATCAGACACGTAGAAAATACGTGTTATCTGACATATAGTGGCAGCATTGTGGGCTCCGAAAATTCGGCCCCGGCCTCCCCGCTCGCTTTTAATTTATCCGACGAGGGAGTTTTAACGGAATATGTTCCGGAGTAAATTTTGGAAGGCAGATGAGTTTGTAAATAAGACACTACCCAGAGATTTCGCCCTCATTTTGCGAGGACTTTATGATCTGAGTTCTGGTTTCCTATAAGCGCAAGCCCCTATAGTTAATTACCCCTCTCGATAACGAGAGAGAACTTTCGATTAAGGCTAGTCGTCAATCAAATACGTGGAGAACACAACATCTGGCATATAGTGGCAGCATGGATTTGGGAATTGAAGAGTTGGGTTTGGATTTGGAATTTGGGTTGGAAGATTTGATATTTAAAATGAAAATTGCACCATCTTGTACTTAAAGCCGATGGTGGAAGAATGGATGATGAACCCGATCAAGATCCCATGGTTCCGTCGTCCCGGGCCATCGTGGTCCCTGGTCTACTTAGTCAGAGGATGTAGTCGACCCAACTTGACAGATGGATCCTTGTCGGCAGCCATGGGTTGCTTCGTCCAAGGGGACCTTGTAGACCTGAGTTGGATATTTGCCTAAGGGGACAAATTTGAATCCACCTTAGCTGACAGAGGGCTTTATGTCCTATCAATCATATCCTATTGATTCATATCTCAAGGATTTGATGCCAATAAGGAGCGTATTGGCGCTGACCATAACCGATATTTCGTGGTGCCATTTGGCGGGAAAACCACTCGGTTCAGAGGGCCCCGGGTCATAACCGCTTAACTGCAGTGCCATTTGGTGGCAAAACTGCCAGTTAGAGAATACGTACCACGTCCTTACTGGAAGGAGATTGTTTGAGAATGGATCCTAATGATATTTTCGACTAGGCATTTGGCTCTTTGTGAGTTGAAGTAATTTTCAATTTGTCCACCCCGGCAAACTGTTGCGGAGGGTAGATGGATTTTGCTTTAAGCGTTGGTATGGATAGTTTCATTTTTAAATATTTTTGGGATTTTGGGATTTTTGGATTTTGAGATGTTCTGGATTTTTGTGGATATTTGAGTGGAGTTTAAAAGTTTTTGGAATGGACCCCTCTAGTTGAGATTTTCTTTCAACACGGCCATCATCGGGGTGTTCGGAATCGTTTCTCTTTTGTTGATTGAATCTTTTCAACTCTATCGAATTATTGATAGAGGATCGGATTTCGTAGGCTTTATTCCCTTGATAGTCAATTCTCATTGTTATAGGCCTTAAAGGCCTAATATGAATGTGTTATAACAAATATAACGGTTGCCACAACCGTATATTTGTTTGTTGGTTCGAACCCTGTCGACTTCTATTGACCCATATAGAAGGATCAATTTCGAACTTGAATTCACTTGTCAGCCCGCGCAATATCCCTAGACGTCACGTGTGTACCAATAACACGCTCGCCAGGACCCATGTGGGTTCTTAATTGTATACCCCAAGCTACTGTGCATGTGCAGGGGTATTTTATAATATTCATATTTTGTTTGTTAGTGGTACATTGAATGTATATAAGTCTTCTACAGTAGCCCATAGGAGGGAGCTCATATCTATTGCAGCTCTCTTTTTGTATTTGCTCGTAGATGAAACTTTGTGTATGTACCAAGTCTCCTACAGTGATTCACAGGAGTTTGCATTTTCAACCAACCTCTTCATGCACATTAATTGGTAGGTTGTTTTATCCACTTGCATGTTGGTTGCTACATAAATATGCAAGTCCACAAGTATTGATTGGTGGGATATCATTGTGTTCATTGCATATCCCTCGAGTTCATTTATTTGTTAGTAAAAGATTTCGTTGTTGATTATCATCATTGCATATGCGTATGTTTGCTGCAATTGGTGTATTTGCTTGAACGTCTTTCAATCCTTCTAGCAATTGTTGCCTGTATCCTCAAGACACTACAAGCTTCTGTCAAGCTCATTATTGTTGATAGAAGATTTACACCTTTGTTGGAGTAACTTTCTTGGGTCAACTACAACATCCATTGGAGCTTTTATACGATAATCATTCAATTGAGTTGATGATTCCTATTGATTGTTGTTTGGAGATGAATCATGTTTACAAATCAATTATCATGTTTCTATGGCCCTCATGTAATGACCTTGCAATCAAGCAATGTTCTTTCGTAATTTCTTTTGTATTTGACTTGAGATGATTGTCGTTCATTTATCCTTTCATTTTCATGTGCATGTTATAAGAGAGCTGTTTGTTCAAATATTCCAAACTCCACATGATGCTGTTTAGCTCATGTTCAAGATATCTTTTGCATTGGTTCAATTGATTCTTGCTTGAGTTCAAGTAGCAAGCTTAAGTTCTAGTTCTCATCCACAAGTCATCCTTTCTTCTTGTTGATAATTACTTGGTTTTCATCTTCAATTATGAATGACTCATCTTGCACATGTGTTATAAGGTTCATTGAAATATCGTTATGCCTCCATTTGCAACTAGACTAACATGGCTAATTGATGGAAGTCATCATGGTAATTTAGTACTTGCTGTTCACCTGGATGAATATGACGCATTTAAACTTTGATTTGCTAATTCATCCAAAGCCCAATTCTTGTGTGTTCCATCCAATTTCTTTATAGTTCATGTTGTTCAAGTCAACTCAAAATCCTTTGCACTTTAGTTCAAATCCAAGTTCGAGTTGAGCTCACTTGTTTCAAGTCCAAGCTTTTGTTGTCTTTCAAGTTTATATTCACTTAGATTTGAATTTATTAGAAATCAATTGAATCAAGTCCATATGTCCCAAATTGATCTTTTGAGTTCGATCAAGTCCATTATTCTACTCATTCGAGTTCAAGTAGTCCCCTGCTGTCTTGTAGAATTCATGTATAGTTCGATGTGCAAGTTCAAATTTCTCTTGCTTGAATTTTTTACTTAAGTCATTTACTCAGTTATTCAAGTTTGAATTTAGTTCAATTGATGTCCAAATGAGATTCAATATTTTGTCCTTGGATTTTCAATCCAAATTTCGGCAGCCTCCCGACGTCTCCCCCGTTTAGGGGAAAAAGCAGGAGGCAACCTTCCCCTCAACGCTACGTGAGCGCTGCAGGTAGGTGTCAAAATGACATCGAGGTCGCAAATGTATTTTTTTATCCCCACTCGCTACGTGAGCGTTTAAGGGTGTTTGATTTTTTTATTATAAGAAGAAAACACATGTTAGAGATAAGCATAGATTTCCCCCCTCTGCACCACGTGGGCATTCGGGGGTACTTATATAAAAAAGAAAACACATTTTTTTATCCCCTTCGCCGCAAGTGACACAATGGTTTTCCTCCCTACAACGCTACTTGAGCACGTAGGGGGTTTGCCGGCTCGTTGCTAGTATTGAAGAGGGCTTCTTAAATCGCCGCAAGCGCCGCGCCGGTTTCCCTCCCTACAACGCTACGTGAGCGGGTAGGGGATTTGCCGGCACGTTGCGAGCCACGAGAAAAGAATCATTTTTTTATGAATTAATTATAATTAATTAGAATTTATGATAAATAATTATAATTTAAAAATAATTAATTATAATTATAACAATTAATAATATTTAATTATAACTAATAATAATTAATTTAAATTAAAATAGTTAATTATAATTAATTTTAATAATTTATAGTTAATTATTAATAAAAATAATTAACCATAACAATTAAATTAATTATAATTTATTTTAATTTAAAACTAATTATTATTATTAATTAATTAAATATAATTAAATATTTAATTATAATAATTATAATTTACTATAATTAACTAATAATAATAATTAATTATAATTTAATAATAATAAAAACAAATTACCTATACCTAAGGGGGATATCGGGTAAGAGCAGAGAGGGGGTCATGGCTCGGGCAAGGCAGAGGAGACAAGGCGGTAGCTGCTTGGGATCGGCTGAGAGGTTGGATCAGGCAAGGGGATCGTAAGAGGGATCGACGTGAGGTAAGGGAGATTCGGCTCTCTCTCTCCCTCTCTCTGTGTGTGTGGATCGGAGGAGGCAGAGGAGCTCGACGGGGCTCAGGGTGGAGAAGTCGGCACAGGGCTTGGAGGAAGAGGTTAGGAACAAAGCTCCTCTCTCTCTCTCTCTCTC